CCCCAAAACCCCAAAACCCCAAAACCCCAATTTGATATTAAATTAAATTTGATCGTTCCGGATTGCTGTAAATAGGTTTGGCAAAGTCTCGAAGATTAGGCTCCTCCCGATCAGCTCGTCTATGACCTTAGAGATGTTACTAGCATTGTAATTCTTATCTGGAAATTTACTCTGAACTTCTGACAAAAGATGGTCGAAAGGAATATGTCTCTGATATTTATCGATAATAGAGTAAACAAAATCTCTTAAAGTCTTCCTTGAAGAGCAGATTACTTCTCTGTGCAAGATATGGTCGATAAAATCTATAAATCCTTTACTCTCCATTTCATTGATACAATCTTTCAAGAGTTCTTTTGGAGTCTAGAAGAAGTTAATGCAACCTATTAAACTTTCTTACTGTTTCAGTGGCATATTTGGCTAAAATTTCCCTTGCTTTTCGAAGATATTGCTCATTCTCTTCAAGATTAGCCCTGGTCAATTTCTGGTCAGGATCGCAATTAAAAAGCATGAAGTTGAAGAACTCTTCCTTGAAACTCTCGGTTTCATCATCGCTCTTGTCATCGAAGGAAACCTCAGATGCCTGCTCTTCATCCTCTTCGTGCTCCTTCATAGTTGGGAAGAGGTTATCCTTGAAGTAATAATATTGAGTCTCGAGGATGAGGTATAATTTACTCAAAAATTCAGAATATTTCTCTAAAACTCCTATAGAATAATATTTAGTAAATCTTACAAATCTTATGAGCTTGTATAACGAATCTGCCTTGGACTATTTTGAGTTCACCAAGGATATCGATAGATATACCGGATTCTAACTGAAATTCTGTAAAATTCGGGATCTCTACCACCCTGGTATCTGTAGAGTCATCAACTATAAATTAACAATGAGAGACTTACTCAGCAATCTTTGGTCTTTATTTATGAACTTCAAGAATAGTTCCTAAGACATTGACCAGTTTTCAAGGCATTGAGCCCTTGAATACTAGTTGATTGGGGTCTTTTTCCTTCTTTGTTTTAGCCTAGAGCAATCAATAAGCCAACTTACCTTCACTTCTACATCATACTTAACTTGGACTAAGAGGATTGGGAAATATTTCGCTTCCTTTGGATCTTCCATGTTTTCAATAAGCACCAAAATTAGTAAAAATATTTATAAAATTAGGTGCCTTATAAGGAGGACTATTATGGGGTTTTGGGGTTTTGGGGTTTTGGGG